TATAATTTATTTTAAATATATAAATTTTAAATATAATTTATTTTTTTTAAAAATTTATTAAAAGTTAAAATTTATAATTTATTTTTTGAATTTTTTTACTTTCTCGTAGTCGGAAATTTTAAATTTTCTGATTGAATACTGACTAGCCGAAATTTTTATTTATAACCATCTTTATATTTCTTGAAAAATCATATGCAAATTCAACATAATTGGTGCGCGGACAAAAGTCTCGGCAACCAAATTTCTTATCTTTTTTTTAATTTTGTTCTTTTGAGCGTTTTTAAATTTCCCTTGTTTTTTCTGATAATTTTTATGAATAGGTCTGCCACTTTAATGGACAGTGGATTAATCAAAACAAGTAATCCATGGATGGAATCTGCATATGAACTTGTAACTAACGATTTGATTAGTCAATAAATTACAGGATGCTTTTTCAGCAGTTGGAGTTGCGAATCCAATTGATTTACCACAGGTTTTATTCTGGATTTTCAATATTTCTCTTCAAAATTTATATGTTGATAAAAGATTGCCGTGATTGGAAGTCAAAGTAGTGGAAAGAGTTCTGTTCTAGAAAATATTGTCGGTAGAGACTTTTTGCCAAGAGGTAACTTTAAAATTTAAATTAGTTTAAAATTTTAAATTATATATTAAAAAGGTACTGGGATTGTAACACGACGACCTCTTGTTCTCCAACTCATAAACAGGCCTAACTCTAAAGGAGAAGTTGGTGGTGTTGCCGCAGATCCCAACGCTCCACGTGATTTACGACCATCAAGCCCAAAGGCATCCGATGAAGTTGAAGAATGGGGTGAATTTCTCCATGTGCCCGGCAAAAAATTCACAGACTTCAATGAGATCCGTGAAGAGATTGTACGAGACACAGAGGCCAAAACTGGACGCAATGGCGGAATTTCTGCTCATCCAATCAATCTCCGTATTTACTCACCCAATGTGTTGAACTTGACGTTAATTGATTTACCGGGAATGACAAAGGTGCCTGTGGGTGATCAGCCAAAAGATATTGAGAAACAAATTAAGGACATGCTTTTGAAATTCATAACAAAGAACAATGCGATAATTTTGGCAGTTACTGCAGCGAATATGGATTTGGCGAATTCTGAAGGTCTGAAGTTGGCAAGAGAGACTGATCCGGATGGTGTTCGAACGATTGGTGTGCTGACTAAAGTAGATTTGATGGACCCTGGAACGGATGTTGTTGACATCCTCGCTGGTAGAGTTATTCCGTTGAGACTTGGTAAATAATTTGTTTTCTTGGATAAATTAAAGAGTTAATCTAGTTATGCAGGTTATGTACCTGTTGTCAATCGTGGACAAAGAGATATTGATAGCAAAAGGCCAATTGCGCAAGCATTAGAAGGAGAGCGTCAATTTTTCGAAAATCACAGTGCGTACAAATCAAAAGCTCAATACTGTGGAACTCCATTCCTAGCACGTCGTTTGAACATGGTATTTTTTATTTTTAATTGTGCAATTTGAATTTCTAATTTTTGTGTGTACAGATCCTGATGCACCATATTAGGACAACTCTCCCTGAAATTAAAGCTAAGATTAGTGCAGGGTTGGCCAAATATCAAGCTGAACTTTTGCAATTGGGAGACCCTCTTGGTGATGACAATGGAAGTCAAGTAAGTTTTTTTTATTGTATTATGTTTGTAATTATTTGACATTATTTCCAAAAATAGTCCAACGTTGTCTTGAACGTCATCACTGAATTTTGTAATGAATATCGATCTATCATTGATGGAACATCAAACGATATCTCATCAGAAGAATTGTCTGGAGGAGCACGTATCTCTTTTGTATTCCATGAACTCTATGGTGCTGCTGTAAGATCCATGGATCCGTTTGATCAAATCAAAGATGTTGATATCAGAACTATCTTATACAACTCTTCGGGATCATCACCGGCTCTTTTTGTTGGGATAGCAGCTTTCGAAGTTCTTGTGAAACAACAAATCAAAAGATTGGAAGATCCAAGTTTGAAATGTGTTTCCTTAGTTTATGATGAATTGGTCAGAATCTTGAACAAATTGCTACAAAAGGGGGTGAGTAGTAGTTACATTTAAATTCAAAGTGTAATCTTTCTTAATTCTTTAATTTTTTTTTAAAAAAAAAAAAGCAATTCAAACGATTCCCACAATTGAAAGAAAGGTTCTATAGTGTTGTCATAAGTTTCTTCAAAAAGTCTTTGCAACCAACAAATAAGTTGGTCCAAGATGTAATTTCTGCTGAAGCATGCTACGTTAATACTGGCCACCCCGACTTTTTGACTGGACACAGGGTTTGTATTCCAAAGATATTCTTTTATATCTGAAAAATTTTTGTTTTCAGGCTATGGCTATCGTGAGTGAAAGGTTAAATTCCAGCAAACCTCAACCACCACAAGGCGACCCAAAAAACCCTTCAAGAATACCAGCCTCACCAGCTATAACTCCATTATCCCAACCAGCAAATTCCGCAAATCCATTATTGCCTGATCCAAACACTGCCACTGATGGCTTCTTCACTAGTTTCTTCACTGCTTCCAAAAAGAAGAAGGGAGGAATTTTGGAAAATGTAATTATTTTTTCAGTGTATCTATGTGTGCTCACTATTTTGTAACAGCCCCCTCCAGTTTTGAAAGCATCAGGAAACCTTTCCGAAAGAGAATTTATGGAAACAGAAGTAATCAGTAAGTTCATTAAACTCTTACCAAGAAAATTGAATTTAATTTTACTCCAGAACTTCTGATCATGTCATACTTTAACATTGTTAAGCGAACAGTAGCTGACCTTATTCCAAAAGCAGTCATGCTCAATCTGGTAGTCTTCAGTAAAGAAGAATTGCAACGAGAATTACTTGCTGAATTATACAAGAAGGAGGTGTTTGAAGATTCTTTGAAAGAAAGTGATTTTACTTTGCAAAGACGACGAGAATGCAAAAAGATGATAGAGGCATTGCAAAAAGCTGATGAGATCATCAACTCAGTTTAAAAAAAACTTTAATTTGGATTTAAATTTTGCTTTCGTGGAGGATCGAACTCCAGACCTCCTGCGTGTGAAGCAGGCATCATAACCGCTAGACTACGAAAGCATTCTTTTTGACAAGTTTAAAAAGTTCGACTACGACAATGCTCCAAACTTTGATCCCCCTTAAAACGAAACCGCCGCTGCTGTCTACGGCAAAAAGAATACACGAAAGGGAAGCCAGCGGCTCCACCGCGTTCCCGGAAGGCAAACGAGAGAGGCCTGACATAGATCTCCAAAATGTAAATTCCGAATGCATTATGGAGACGGAAGAAAAC